CCCAGTGGCTCAGGACGCTGAGACAGGAGGATCACAAATTCAAAGCCAGCCTCAGCATCTTGGCCCAGCCCTAAAGCAATTCAGTAAGATTCTGTCTCCAAATAAAATATAAAAAAGAGTGAGGGATGTGGATCAGTGGTTAAGTGCTTCTGGGTTCAATTCCCAGTATTAAAAAAAGGGAGGGGTATCTTAAAACCAAAAATGTTGAGAACAGCTAATGTAGTGCCTGTCTAAGGCAGACTGAGGATGAGCTGGAGGTCAGAGCAACCAGTCAGAGGCTCTGTCCATGACCCAGAGGGGTCACCATTTCTGATGCCCTGGTGTCCTTACAGGGAACTGTGGAATTCAGTAGCCTCTCTCAACCCCCTTTTTCTTCATCTTCCTCCCACCACAGAAGCTAAGGAAAACAAACTGTACACATTTGCTTTCCTGGCCTCCCTTGCAGCCAGCAGTGGCCATGTTTCTCAGTTCTACTAAGGAGACATAAAAAGATGTGGATGGGGTTATTTCTGAGAAAGTTTTCACTTCTTTACAAAAGGTGAGGGCAGGAGCGAACATGCTGCCATCATCCCTTCCTCTTCTCTTACCTCTAAATACCTGGAGCTGCAGCAGCAACATTGGGACCATGAGGGACGAAGCATATGGCCTTTAGGATGAAGGAGTGGGGAAACTGGCCTTTATTGTAAAGCCTCTGTATTCTTTTTGTTACATCAGAAAAATAAACCTAGTTTAAGCTACTGTTAGTTTAGCTTTCTATTGTCAGCATCCAAAGAAACATTGCTAATAGATACAGTTACCTGAGAAGCTCTGGTGCCGAGATGGGAATTGCACCATGTAGTGGTGTGTGCAGTGAAGAGCCATCTCTGTGGCTGGAGGATGGTTGGGCAGATGGTTGGAGAAAGGTGTTTTATTATGCAGATTTTCCTCCCTTCCATTCACTGTGGCACTGGGATAGAACCAGGGTCTTGCACACGCCAGGCAGGTGCTCCACCTCTGAGCCCACATCTCCAGGCCTTTTCATTTTATCTTGATACAGGGTCTCAAATTTGCAATCCTCCTGCCTTGGCCTCCCGAGGAGCTGGGATTACAGGTGTGTGCCTCTGTACCTGGCTGCAAGTTTTCCTAAGTATACTTAGAGACTGCTCTGTGCTGAAAATAAACAAGGACAAAAGACAGCACACCCACCAAAAACCTGTACTTATGGAATGTGAGCATGAGCTTTGTTTGAGAATTGGTCACAGGTGACAGCTAGAGGCTAAGGGGCCTGTCCCTGACTCTGGCAAGAGCAGCACTAGTTGGGCATCAGAGACGGACTAATGGACCCAAGAAAAGAAAGGACCTGTGATGATCAGCTTGTTACTGCCACAAATACCCGAGATAATCAGCTTACAGAGAGAAAAGGTTTATCCTGTCTGTGGTTCTAAAGAGTCCAGCCCAAGATTGGGTGCATCCATGGCTTTAGGTGTCTGGCAGGGTCCAGAGGGCAAGAGTGAGGAGTGTGTGCTGGAGCAGAGTGTTCAAGACATGCTAGGGAGCAGGGCACAGCAGAGAGGGACTGGGTCCCACTGTCCCCCTTGAGGGCATACCCCCCGTGACCTAAAGACCTCCCTTTAGGCTCCACCTCTTAAAGGTTCCATCACCTCCCAGTAGCCCCAGCTTGGGACCAAGCTTTAACACGTGGACCTTTGAGGGACATTTAGATCCAGCCTAACGGCCCCATCCCTCCCCCAGCAGCCATCTGGGCACGCGACATCCCCATACGGCGCTGCCAAGACAGCCAAACCTCTGGTCCCAGTGGGGCCACAGCTGCTTTCCTGGACCTGTGGTTCTGATTCAGACTCAGCTCCCTGGGTCTGAGTGGGGCTTCACCTGCTCCTTCTGCTGCATCTCCTGTCAACTCAGATGGAAACTCCTGGCCTCGGTCTTGTCCCTGGGAGCCTTACAACTCCCCAGAGTCCTCCGGTCTCTATCTGGCCAAGCCAGCCCTGGCCCATCTGTAAAGAGGAGGAGCAGGGAAGAGACGGCCACTTCTGAGGGGATCATTCTAAAGAAACGATGTGTGTTAGGCTCATCTCCCAAACCAGAGGCATCCAGCCACGAGCTATCTCCACAGCTGCTGCAAGTCTGGCCTTCGGCCTTCGCTGGACTCCTGGGGTGGAGCAGGATGCCCCGTCCCTATACAGTCCTGCACATTCTTCAGGTGCACACTTCCTCTGAGCCTTATTTTCCCTGGTGACTGCCTTGGGGTCTGCTTTAACTTTGCTTCCCCAGGATGACATAAGCAGGGAGGGGTATGGAGAAGGTGGGTGTATACTGGGGATGGGGCATGCAGTTGGAGACCACAGCATGACTTTCTCCAGACCCTGCTTCCACCTCTATGACCCAGGTTGGAAGCACAGGATGGGGAGTACAAGTGATGACTTCTTTCTCAATTTCACTCACCCATTTTTTTGAGGGGGCGGTTACCAGAGATTGAACTCAGGGGCACGCCATCACTGAGCCACATCCCCAGCCCTATTTTGTGTTTTATTTAGAGACAGGGTCTCACTGAGTTGATTAGGGCCTTGCTTATTTGCTGAAGCTGGCTTTGAACTTGCGATCCTCCTGCCTCAGCCTCCAGAGCCTCTGGGATTGCAGGCATGCGTCACCCCGCCTGGGTCACTCGCCCACTTTTGTTTCCTCTTTCAGACAATTCTTTCTTTCTTTCGTGCTAGGGATTGAACTCAGGGTTTCTAAGTGCTCTACTACTGAACTATGGTCCCAACCCTCAATTTCTAATTACCAGTCTTTCTTTCAGATAAAATCTATATGATATATACTCATTGTTTTCATTTATTTTCTGAAAAACTTATTCCTGGCTTTGGTTCCCAGACATAGCTGCATGTTAAGCAGCCAGGCTGGGTAGGCACACCTCATGCCCACAAGACTCCCTTTCCTGAGCCGGGGAATTGAGGCAGGAAGTCATACACACACTGGGATGCAAAACTACCGGCCCCATTGCCTGCACACACGCTCTCTCTCAGTCTCTCTTTCTGTCTCATTGCTTCTCGGGGGAAAAAGGCAAATGAATCTCTGTGGCAAGAGCACAGCCTGAGGGTCAGAGGGCACACACAGCCTGGCGCAGACCTCACCCTTGCCACCCACTGTGAGGCATCTGAGCAGGAGCTGCCCTGGTGCTGCAGCCTGCCCTCACCAGGCCCGACCTGCTCTGCACTTGGGCTCACTCTCCCTTCCCAGCATGCACAGAGCAGGTGGGTCAGGGTCAGGGCAAGGGAGCTCATGAAGCTGGCTGGCTTCCATGGAGGATCTGGCCGGACCAGCTCCATGGCCAGCACATGAAGCACATGGTGATGCCTCATGGAGGGTGGGACCCACTGAGCTTCGGGCTACCACAGCTTTAGGACTCTCAGGGGTCTCCTCAATCCTAACCTGAGTTCATCTGGACCCTGGGTAGAGCTGTCTTTTACATGTGAGTTGGTGTTGTGAACAGGAATATTATAGAAAGAAAACATCACTGGACAAAGGAAAAAGATAATAGGGTTTCTTTCAGGCTCACATAAAAGAGACAGACTAAAAACTAAACCCTAAACCTAAAGGAGTACTCTTTTCTCTACAAAGATTACCATGCATAATGGGAATCATGGGACTTATTTTATTTTATTTAAGAACATGCAGAAGAGGAAGAAGGAAAGGGGAAGAGAATGGAGGAGGAGCAGGCGGGGGGAAGAGGATGAGAACAAGAAGAGGGCAAGAGAAAGTGACTGCAGCAGCAGGGAGTACCTGATGTGCAGCCCAATCCTGTCTTAAATATCATCAGCAGTACATGGCACTGTGTTAGGAATGCACTCACAATTAGTACGTGATCACAAAAGCGTTTTTGCTAGGTTATTTGGTATCTGTCTAATTAGAAAATACTGCAGTTACCATATGAGTATAATTACATGTATTAAATTAGTAGTATTTTTCCTGTATTCATGGTATCAGTTAAAATACAGTGATAGAGAAGTACCTGTTAGGGTGACTAGAATGTACGAGAATGAGTGAGTGAGCACACTGAATACCTTCCTTCTCAACCTGCTTTCTATTACCTGATTAAATGAGGTAATGTAAGCAGAGCACTTTCCACCGTGCTAGTGCACAGCACATGCCTCAAACATCAGCTGATATTTCTGGAAAAACCCACAGTCGATATGCATTTCCTAAATGGCTCAACTACTATGTGTACTTGAGCTTAGAGGATGAAAAGCCGATCTGTAACCTGCAAGGTTATTTACAATCTATCTTCTGCGCCAGAATTGGTCCCTCCACCTTTGGCACTATCTAGCATTTTGCTCATGCCTCTGGTGTAGTTTTTCCTTCTTTATTTTTTTCCTTCTTTTTAAATGCTATTTTGCAACATGTGTATCTCCTCTATTTAACTCTTTGAGGTTAAAATTCTTTGAGGTTAAGCCTACAGCACCATCACCTGTGATTTGCACATATAAATTATTCAATAAATGTTCTTGGAATGGGAAATTTCGATTTACCGAGTCAGACTGTGTAGATGCCTTCTGATTTTCTGTTTCCACACCAAATATACAGCATCCTAGTTATAGAATTATGTGTCTTTCTCTGACATTTAGCAGGTGACGATGTATAAGCACAGGATTTTCATTTATAGTTGTAAACATAATGGTTGATGAAAGGGTAAAGATCAAATTAAGTTAAATAAAAATAAGTTTGGTATAACTATGCTATGGAATGCTATGTAGCAATTTAAAAGAATGCTGTGTATCTCTGTGTCCTAGTATAGACAGATCTCTCAGATGTAATGTTAGGGTGCTCTCCTCTGAGCCTCCCTATTTGGCAGGGTGTGGGTGCTTGTGTGCGTGTATGTACCAGGAGTTGAACTCAGGGGCTCTTGACCACTGAGCCACATCCCTAGCCCTATTTTGTACTTTATTATTTAGAGACAGGGTTTCACTAAGTTGTTTAGCGCTTCACTTTTGCTGAGGCTGGCTTTGAACTTGTGATCCTCCTGTCTCAGCCTCCCAAGCCGCTAGCTTCTCTATTTTTATTAATAGTATTTCACTTCCATTAATACAGGCTCACACTTGTGTCTTCTCACCCCCCATGACTCTTATGAAGTTCTCTGCACTACAAAATCTGCCGTCTTACTCCCCTTCCTGCAGCACTTGATGTTGAAGTCCTGCAGCCTGTCTGTGCTCCTCTCCTCCTGCTCCAGTGCCCCATGGTAAGTCCTCCTGAGACCTGACTTTGCATACATCACACCTTTGGCTCACATTATCCTGCAGCCTGCATTCAGGAGATCTAGCTTCACCGGTTCAGCGTTTTCATCATTTCACCTAAACTGCCCTTTCTATCATTTCCCATCCTCCACTCAGTTGTGTTCTAGCCAGGCTGTGGGCTTGTTCCCAGCACTCCATCTCCTTCCTGGATTCTGCGACCCTGTTGCCCTCTTCCAGGTGTAGTGCTGCCGTGGACTGAGACCAGATGCCCAGTGCTTGGCTCTGTCCTCCAGGCACTTTTCCCCAGCACTGGGCAGCTGACCAATCCACCTCCCTGGATTCTGCTGCTTCACCTGTGGGATGGCCTTCGCTTTGCCAATCCACGTTTTCCTTTTTCTAAGTGCCTTCTCTTCCCAACCAGCTTTTAGCATGCATGGAAGATAAAACATTTGGGGGTTCTTTGTCTCCCCAACCTGTAGGGAGGTTGTCCCCAACAAAACAATTAAAGTGCTCTCTTTTCACTTTCAGCTGACATGTTCCTGATGATTGGATGTTGCATTTTCTGGTCACCCTATTGATAAATGACTGGATTAGGATGATGGTAAAAAGGCATCCTTCATGCTACATTTTCTTTGGCTTCATTATTCACTCTCCTTTCCTTTCTCAATTTTATACTCAGATATTTGAAGTTGGTTTCTGAAAACCCAGCTGAATAGTCATTAGCGGTTCTTTCACATGGAAATATAGAATTGTAATTTTCATTGCAAATCCAGCAATGTGTTAAGATGAGTAATCATGTCCTGAAAAGCTAAATGAAAAATATTTCTCTTCTCCTTTTGGCTTAGCTGACAGAGACAAGGGCAGAGCTGCCTGGCATAGATGGGACCCAGAATGGAGGTGACATCCTTCCAGGGGTCTGAGCTAAGCCTCCAGTCTGAATGTAAGAGCAGTATAAAACCAGCAGGAGATGCGGGAAGACAACGATTTAGTTCCCTGACATTACAAAACATCACTATAGGAAGTTGCCTGAGAAAACATGTTTTCAGTTATCAATTGCCATCAGGACTCAGAAATTAATCTTTTATTTGGTCCCCAAGCAGCCAATGCAGATGTGACCAACCAAAGCAATGTGATTTTAGGATTGAGAGTCTTGTCTCTGTTCTTCTGAAAATAGCAGATGTTGCTTTGACCCAAACTGAGCATGGATGCTTTGGCAACAAGCACAGTTTGCAGAACTCTCACTTTGGCTGTGATGAAGCCTGATTTTGACTTTGATGCCTGTTTCAGCTTGAGCACCTGGGAAATCGCACTTCTCCACACTCTTCCACAGAACACTTCTGAGACCAAATGCCCAGGGTTTTGTCCCCTACAAGCACTCATCCAGATCTCCATGGGTACCAGGTGGGTGCCCTGAAATTTCACTCTGTTCTGACACTAGCTGGAGTTAAGGGCTCTGTCCCACAAGACACTGACCCCCACTTTAAATGCTGGTTGTAAAGTCAGGTTGTGCCATTTACTTCTGACTTGCTGGCTATAAATTAAGGGTTCCCAAGATGCCCTCCTATGTTTTATCATTTGGTAGAGTGGCTCATAGACTCAAGAAAAGGGTTTACTTACTAGATTACTAGTTTATGATCCAACTCAGAGGCAGCCACATGGATGCCTAGAGTGAGGTTTGGAGGTCCTTCACACCCTCTCAAGACACGACACCGCCAGCACCTTCATGTGTGCACCAACCCCAAAGCTCTTCAAACCCAACAGCGCAGGGATTTCTATGGAGACTTCATCTCACTGGCACAATCAATTATTCCCTCTATCTGCAGCACCAGTCCCTGTCCTGAGCATGGTAGAGGTGGGTAGGGGGTGAAAATTCTAAGCTCCACTCAAGCTTTTAGTTTTCTGGTGACCATCCCCCACCTAGGAGCCCATCAAGTGTCATATCACTAAGACAAAGAATGCTCCTATCATCTAGGAAACTCCAAGGAGAAACCTAAGTGATATATTATTGGCTAGGGTAATGTTTACCCCAGATACAGGTACACAGAAATACATTTTAATTCTCTTAGATTTTGTTGGACTGAATTGTGATTGTGGTTTTTATTTTTGATTACCTTCTTCTGGAAAGTTCCTCATATCCCCCTCAGATATCATGTAGAATCCACTTGCTGAAGTGGATCTCAAACTATGCTTCTGCACAAACCCTATTGCCTCACAAGGTAAATGTCAGTATTCTGCTACCAAATTCAAAGAACAGTGTTTCTTAATATCCAGAAAATGATAATTTAGTGGATATGATTTTTTCAACTTTACGTCATTTCCCCTATTTTTTGCCCTTTGAGTTCTTATTCCCTAGCCACACCAAGGTCAACAAGCAATACCTCTTTGTCTTGATAGTGATCTGCAGCTGCTCCCTCCAAGGAGACAGTAGGTAAAAGACACATCTGTCCCCATCCCTTGGGTCCTTAGAGACCAGCTGGTCAAGTCAGCACAAGCCAACAAATACCACTCACTTAGAGGGTATCAGGACTTTGATGACGATGTCAGTGCTCTGGCTGATGGCTGCCAAGCATCCCAAGAAAGGGGGTCCCTTTTCTGATTCGCACAGTCTCCCTGGATACAAACAGTGGGATTGTGGGGGAAGAGGGCTAAACTGCTTGGTTTTAGTGTGGCTTCTTCATGGGAGATAAAGCTAGTTAGTACCTGTCACCTCTAGTCTGCTAGCCTCTCGTCATTCCAGACAATCTTTACTAAAATGGGAATCCCCCAGGCCGTGAGCATGTCCTTGTGACCCAGAGTCTTTTTTGGTATGTCTGATAAAATGTTAATGCAAGCAATGTCTCTCTCCATCTCCTGTTCTTTAGGCCCTCTTGGAAAAACTTGCCTGGATTGTCTGTTTCTATAAAAGCTAAATGCCTGTTACCTCAGGGAAGCAATATAAATGGATTTTGGCTCTATATTTCCCTGCACTGTCGTACTCACTACCACTGGGCTATATAAAACCCTCATGCTATTATCAGCTCTGAGAGAAAGGAAAATGAGCCCAAGAGGTGTGCCAGGGTAGGAAATCCCAGCCTAAAAAAAGATGTGGATGTCTCACTTTGGCTGGTCAGAGTCCCTTGCCTTGACCCTGCTCACAGCAGCTTGTGTGCTCTGGAGTCCTTGATATGATTTCAGGTGAAGCACCTAAGGGTCCCTCTTGGGGGCAAAATTGTGGGGCAACAGAGAGAAGCTAGGTAGGCAAAGCTCTGCATCTGTGATTCAAAAGGTGAAAGTTCTAGGCTGGGCTTGTGGCTTAGTGGTGAAATGCTTGTCTCCCATTCATGGGGCACTGGGTTCCATCCTCAGCACCTCAAAAACATATAAAATAAAGGTGTTGAGCCCATCTACAACTAAAAACAAACAAACAAAAGTCTTAAAAAATGGTGAAGTTCTCCATCCTCAAAAATGGTGTGTGGATACATAATAACACTGCATCCTTTAACATGCAGACATTCCAGCCAGAAATCCTGGGAGAGCCTGCTCCAGCATTTTTGCCAAGGGTGGTGTGGGAAATTCGGCTCACTAGGAGTGCAGAAGACTACAGAAGAGGGGGCAGAGCACAGATGGCAAAAGTAGAAAGAGAGGTGCTGGAAGAGGAGGAGGCTGGGCCTCACTGCCTAACTTGGCCTGGCTACTTACACACACCAACCAGCCTTTTCCCCAGGGGATCAGCAGACAGGCAAGACACCAGGAGCCTAAAGAACAACTTCCCAATGAGCCTGTTTTTTTTTTTTTTTTTTTTTTTTTTTTGTGTGTGTGTGTGTGTAGAAGTAGCTTGGAAGTTCTCCGTAGTTTTAACATTCCTTTTGAAGATGACATTTACTCATTCACCCAAAGTTTATTTGAAAAACCAAAACTAGCAAGCGTGGTGGCACAAGCCTGTAATCCTCCTGACTTGGGAGGCTGAGGCGGGAGGATCAAAAGTTCACAGGCAGCTTCAGCAACTGAGCAAGGCCCTAAGCAACTTAGTGAGGCCCTGTCTCAAAAAAAAAAAAAAAAAAAAAAAAAACTGGGGGGTGGGTCAGTGGGCCAAAGCCCCCCGGTTAAAACCAAATACTAAAAAAAAAAAATTAAAAAAAAAAAAAAAAAAAGAAAGAAAGAAGGTAAGAAAAAGAGAAACTACACCACTACAAACTGGACCAGCTACATCATTCACAGGGCCCAAAGCAAAATGAAGCTGAAGAGAGTCCTCTTCAAAACTTCAGAATCGCAAGTTGTTGGTGACAGCGAAGCATTAAACCAAGCCTAGAAACTTGGAGGAGTTGTGGACCTGCCCAGGCTGGACCCCAGGTGACAGCTTGGGCCTGGCCATCTCCCTCAGCCAGTTTTCTCCTCCATAAGCTGCTGCAGGGTCTCCAGGCGTGGTCTCCTGGAAAGGAACATCAGCCACATCTGGGAACTTGATAGAAATGCCCAGTTTCCCACCTCCTCCGAGTCTGCCTCAGTCCTGTTTTGGGAATGCTGCCTCAGGCAAGGACTAGCAGGCTGGATTTCAGCTTAGAAGCAGTTTTAGGACTCTTGTGGCCTAAGCTGATGAGGATGTCCTTATCACGAGGAAATAGGGCTGGGTTAGGTGGAGGGAGGCCTGGAATTCTGGTCAGCCCTTCTCTTCTGCTGAGCAGACAACAGCACATGGTCTGTCTTTTGTCAGTTACTCAGTCACCTTCCTGGTAAAGCCAGCTCATGTCCCAATTTTAAGGATGAGGAAATCGAAATGCCAGAAGTGTTCAGTGAGTCCACAAGTGGAGTGGGATTAAAACCCAGAGCTCCTAAATCCCCCTGCGTGGCCTTCAGGTAACATGAGACCCCTGACAGGTGGGCCAAGCTGTCACAACTGCACCAACCCCCAGGCCAAGCTGAAGGGCTTGATGGTCCCAGGAAATGAGCCCTTCCAAAGGCTCCTATGGCAGGGGGTATAGAGCGGTGGTGAACACCTACCTAGCACGTGTGATCCCCTGGGTTCAATCCCCAATACCTCCCAAAACAAAACAAAAAACACAAGACACACAGAGGTTCTGTTCATAAAACAGTGGGGACTATGGTAGGAAGTTGGTATTTACGAGACACACTGGGTGGAAATATGGATCCCTCAAGGTTTACTATCTAGTCTCAGTGGGGCCAGCATGAGGTGGTGCACCGCCCAGAGCCCTTTGCAGGTCCTTCGGGAGGCCTGTGACCCGCTGCTCTGTCTCCTCAGGTCTGCCCCTTGCATTCTTGTCATTAAGTCACTTGGAAGGCCTTGGCCCAGCTTATCATTTTTTCCATTCTTAGGCCAGGGCTATTTGTAGTTTCTCCACCTGTCACCATATGTGTTAGGCTGCAAAGGCCAAGCGCAGCCTCCCTAATAGCATAATACCAGCGCAAACTCACTTAGAACACTGTGCTTTCTTCGAATGCTCCATTTTAGGACCTTTTATGAGTCTTCACAGCTTTTCAGCTGTGCTGGTTTAGTGGGGTTGAGTGATACCTACTGAGTTTCTCGTAGGGCCTGAGTTATTCCCGTCTGTAAATGAGAAATCTGTAGTAACTTACTAATGGTTTAATATGCTCATGATTAAAGAAGTTACTGCATGTATCCAAGTAATACAGAGGTTATAAAAGGTTGTCATATAAGAAATAACAATGGGAAAGAAACAGGAAAACATAAAAGTAAAAGTGGACAGAAAAGTAAAAAGAAATCCCAATTTCCAGAGCACAACTTAGAATGCAAATGGAAAAATATCATGAATACGACCCTTAAAGTAGGATATTGTGGAGAATATTAGTCAAAAAAGAAAATAGAATGTATCATAGATGTAAATATATAACAGAACTGTAAAATTCCTAGAATATAACATAGGAGAAAATCTAGGTAACCTTGGGTTTGGTTATTAGTTTTTAGAAACAATACCAAAAATATAATCCATGCAAGGAAAAAAATTATGTTTGACTTCATAAAATGTAAACACTTTTTGTTCTCTGAAGGACACACTGTTAAGAAATGAAAGTATGAGTCACAAACTAGGAGAAAATATTTGTAAAATGTTCATCTTATAAGAACTGGAACCCAAATAAATGAAGATTTCTTAGAATTCAACAATGAGAAAACAACTCAATTTTAAAAAGTTCTGAACAGACACTTCAAGAAGCATATGGAAAGTTGCCCCACATCGTGTGTCTTTGAGATTTAAAATTAAAGCAACAAGAGGCCACTGCACACCTCTGAACAGTGACTAAGTCCAAAGGCCACCAAATGCTGGTGAGGGTGTGGAGCATCAGCAGCTCTCCATTACAGCCTGTGGGAGTGCAAGTCGGCTCACCCCGTTGAGAAGGTCGTTTGGTTTCCTATGAACTATGCATATTCTTTTTTTTTCCATATATTTTACTGGTGAATTATAGTTGTACATGTTGCAGAGATTTGTTGTTACATACTCATATGTACACACAATATAATTCCATAATTTGGCTAATATCACTCCCTGGCACTTCCCCCTTCCTCCCCTCTTCCCATCTCTTGGTCCCTTTCCTCTACTGATCTTCCTTTGATTTTTTAGGAGATCCGCCCCCACCTTTCTTTTCCTTTTTTCTCTCTAGCTTCTGCCTGTGAGAGAAAACATTTGACTCTTAACCTTCCAAATTTGACTGACTTTGCTTAACATGATGGTCTCTAGTTCCATCCATTTTCCTGCAACAGCCATAATTTCATTTTTCTTTATGGCTGAATAAAATTCCATTGTGTGTATATACCACTTTTAAAAAAATCCATTCCTCCATTGATGGACACCTGGGCTGGCTCCATAGTTTAGCTATTGTAAATTGTGCTGCTATAATCATGCATGTATCCCTGTAGTAAGATGACTTTACAATTCTTCAGGGGAAATGCCAAGTAGAATAGCTGAGTCATATGGTGGTTCCATGCCTAGTCTTTTGAGGAGACTCTTTTCTTTTCTTCACATCCTCTCCAGCATTTATTATTATTTGTATCCTTGATGACTGCCATTCTGACTGGTATGAGATAACATTTCAATGCAATTTGATTTGCATTTCCCTAATTGCTAATAATGTTGAACATTTATTTATTTATTTTTTGGCCCTTTATATTTCTTTTTTTTTTTTTTGAGAAGTATTTGTTTAATTTGTTTGCCCATTTATTAACTGGGCTATTTGATTTTTTTAAAAAATATTTTTGAATTGTTGATGGACATTTATTTTATTTTTATGTGGTGCTGAGAATCCAACCCAGTGCCTCACACTTGCTAGGCAAGTGCTCTACCACTGAGCCACAACCCCAGCCCCTAGGGTTATTTGATTTTTTTTTTTTTGTGTGTGTAAAGTTTTGGAGCTCTTTATATATTCTAGATATTAATCCTCTGTCAGAAGAACAGCTAGCAAAGATTTTCTACCATTCTGTGAGTTCTCTCTTCACATTCCTAATTGTTTCCCTGCTGTGCAGAAGCTTTTTAATATGATGCCTTCCCATTTATTAACTCTTGACATTATTTCCAGAGCTTTAAGGAGTCTATTGAGAAAGTCATTGCCTGGGCCTGACAGCTGAAGTGTTGACCCTACATTTTCTCCTAGGAGTTGCAGTTTCTGGTCTAATTTCAAGGTCTTTAATCCATTTGAGTTGATTTTATGCAAGGTGAGAGATAAGGGTCTAGTTTTATTTTGTGCATATGGATAACCAGTTGTCCCAGCACCATTTGTTTAAAAGGCTCTCTTTTCTCCAATGTGTTTTGACACCTTTGTCAAGGATTGGATGACTGTACTGTGTGGGTTGTCTCTTGTGTCTTCTATTCTGTACCATCTTCCTATGGAACTACACATATTCTCACCATATGATTCAGCAATAGTGCTCCTTGGTATTTTACCCAAATGAATTGAAAATATGTTTACACAAAAAATCTGCACATGAATGTTTACAGCAACTTTATTTAT